GGCGAAAAGCAGTCAATATTTTGTGTTAGTTTACTCTGAAATAATAGCTAACACATCCTCTGAATCAGACTGAATTTTCTTCCATTTAACCACAAGACAAACAGTCATTATTAATGCTACCTTTACAAATATCTTGGGAATCTTACATGGGATCCAGATCATTAACCTCTGGTTGAATAATTATCCATGAATGTGTCGTCTATCTCTATAAAGATGACTTTACTGCTTCAATGCTGAATTCGTAAACTAGAATCTTTGTAAAGATTGAAATTCTGGTTCCTAAGGTCCAACTTCCCTAGATATGGCAGAGATTGCCTAGTTCTCTCTAAATCCATTCCTATTCCTCCTGGACACAAAGACATCAGTCTTTATTAGAGTTATGTATAGTAACTCATGCATATTAATCAAGTTTCTCCAGTGAAAAAGATCAATAGATTTACATATAAAGAGATTTACGACAAGGAGTTAGTTCACACAATTATGGAGGCTGCCCAGGTCCAAAATTCATATCCCACTTAGGGTTCAAAGGTCAGAGAATGGCCATAGAACTTGAAAGACCTGATGTCCCCATTTTAAAGCCATTAGGCAGGAAGAACCAAAGCTTCAATGCAGGAGAATTCTTTTATTTGGGGAAGGAGCCAGCCTTTTTGTCTGTTCAGGCCTTCAACAGATTGAACAAGAACCACATACTTATTGAGGGTAATCTGCTTTACTTAGTCTACCCACTTAAGTGTTAACTGATCAAAAAAATCTTCATAGAAGCACTCAGAATAAGGTTTGACTAGATCTCCAGGCACCCTGTGACTCGATGAGGTTAACTCATAAAATTAATCATTATTATCATATAGGAATTCCAATTCATTGAATGTAGGTGAAGGTGAAAGGTATCACTTTCAGGCTCACCTCATGAAAATGTCTCCCATAAGACCCTTTATGACCTTTACCCATCCCAGGAAAACTGATGAGTATTAGATTTAATGTTAGCTATCAGTAATGTTCATCTGTTTTATGAATTTTTTTTTAAAAAAATCTTCAAATGTAAAAGGTTAATTCCACTTTCTTTCCAGGACTAAGAGGCTGTCCTCAGCTATTCCAAGGTGTCTTCCATCCTTCTCTTTTCTAATGGAGATCTCTCTGGTGTCTGTACCTGCTACTATACGTACGAAAAGTGATAAACATACAGAGATCTTCATGAATGGAAAGTATATGGTAAGTACTGGGGCTGTGTTATTTCTGTGTGTGTTGGTTCTTAGTTTGTATAAAGTAACTCAGCACTTCATAGCAGTGAATTAAAGAAAATTCAAGGCAGTTAAATGGTTCCATTGGAACGAAACATCCATCTACTCATGAGTAGGACTGAAAGGATAACCGAGATGAGTCACCCAAAGTGAAGAAGCAGGATTGGTGTCATCCGGGCAGAAGCAGAACACAAGAGCTCAGGAGGAGACAAGTGTGTTGCTCATCAGGGAGACATTACATCCCTGATCCCAGATACCCTCTTAGTGTAGGATGAAGACAGTCATTCTTAATGAGGAGAGATACAAGCAACACTCAGAAGTTTTCATAGACTGACCCTTTGTATCACAGGCACACTCAAAGAGGCAGAACATAGGAGTAGCTAATGCCAACAGAAAGCAACACCCTCACAAATGGACCCTAGTACTCTGCAAGTGATCTTGAGGTGTCCTCAAGAAGGGCAGATTTATATATTATATATATTATACACACACACTTTTCAACCAGGTTGCATTAAAACAAGTCCATACTTTCTGATGTTAATTTTTTTTAGTTTTTTCAACTGAGAACCTATAAGTAAAAGTCAAACAGGAAATTGGGTAGAAGGACGAACTCCAAAACTACACAGGCTGAGCTCACATCCCAGCTCCATTCCCTTCCCTCCTGTGCAATGCTGAACGACTCATATGATCTAATCTCCATGTGTCCTATTTTCCTCATGGGAATAATAGTAGTTCCTACACTCATCAGACCAGCTGTGAGTTTTAAAAATTAGTACACTTAAAGAATTTAGCAGGATACCTGACAGTAAGTTCTTATTAGCTACTCAGCTATCACATCACCACCACCACCATCATAACCATCATCATAATCACTATCAAATCACCTTTATCTTCAGGACACAATGTGCTATATAATATCTATTCCCGAGTTTCTGGGTCAGGGAGTCCACACGGCTGAAAAGGAAACAAGATGAATTCACTAAAAAGACCTAGAAGGTAGCTCATTCCCTCTGTTTATCCTTAGCATAGGCCTGTAGGACCACAGTTCCAGAATGATGTGACCACAGGACACTCATCACATTCAAAGGGGCAGGTGACTATGGAGGTAGGTGTGAACAAAATGAGTTGTGATATACATCGAGAAGGTGAAAAGAGGGTGGGCAAGAAACAGGAGAGGGGCTGGGGCTCAATGGGCGAGCACTTGCCTGGTGTGAATGAGGCACTGGGTTCAATTCTCAGCACTTAATATAAATAAAGGTCTATCAACAATCTGTGTGTGTGTGTGTGTGTGTGTGTGTGTATGATTAAGACACAGGAGAAAGAAAAAACAGAAAATCAGTGGGGCTATTGGCTAAACTGCAATGCTCCACTTGGTTTTAAACACCTTTATCCCTGGACTTCTGGATCTGCCCTCTCCAGACCCCTTCCCAGGTTTCCATGCTCACAATCATTTTGTTGTTAGACGGATCCCCAAACAGTGCCTGTCAACCCTACCCGCTCTCTGTGCTGTGTATGTATTTTAATAGAGTTACACTAAAGAAATGAACATCATTCCTAACCCAGAGACTTTGCACCCCACAAATCACACCACTCTTCAGTTTCCTGTTGAAGTCTTATTGCTTAGCGAAAACAAACAAAAAAAAAAAAGAAAATCACAGAGTACAAGTGAGCATGTAATTTTTAAATCATCTTCCTCTTCAGTAATAAAGTACAAGATGTTCCTCAGTGTGCTGAAAACCTCTAGATGATTATAGAGATTGAGGAGGGACTAGGAGGGAAGCTTGACTTTTCACAAACAAGCCATTAAAACTCAGGTTGTTAAACTAAGAGCTTAAACATGAACAAGGAGAGCCTTCTTGATCAAAGCCCCTGTTCCAAAAGTTCAATAAGATCCTGACCTCGTCTGTGTTCCTTATGCTTCAAGAAGCAAAGTTAATTTTTTTAAAAGGGAAAAAAAAGAAAGTGTGAGTCAAGTGTTCAGAGGTGGCCAAAGGATGGCTTTTCTTTTCTTCCATGAATTCATTTCCATCAAAAGGTGGCGGCATGTTCTTGCGCCATCCTTCAAGTTCATGAACATGTCTGAGATGTGGCCCTAGAAGAAAGCATCCTCACGTAGCTTTGACCACCACCAACAGCTCAGTGGCCGCTTTATTTAATATAATTAAGGCTTCAATTATCCAGGAAGGGCCAGAGAACATTTGCTTCCCTCTAATGTGCCTCCTCTATGACCCCAGGGGGATTCAAAGGCCCCCCAGGAATAAGTTTCTCCTCCATCTCAAATATTTTGCCACATGTGTTTGTTATGATTGGCTGGGCCTGTGGTGAGCACTCTTTAATTAGGGCAAGATTTAACCTCCTAAAAGAAGAGGTGTCTCATGTTTTCAGGCTCCAGCCATCCGAGAGCACCCTCCCAAGCATGAGCCAGGGAAGCTAGGGCTCTGTGAGATTTCCATTCATGGGAGGAGGGGGCGATTTTCATATTCTCAAGTGATCTGTTGGCACCAGAATTTTTTTCCTTCAAAACTCAGGACATCTGTTTCAGAATAAAGGATGCCTGTTTCTTTAATATATTTATGCATTTCCAGCTGACAAGATTTCATCATGGGTATATTTAGCTGGGTTTTTCTAATTTGGGACATTTGATTAAAATATGTCAAATTAAATTACTCATCATAATTTTCAACCTAATGTGAATTCCCTCCAGGAACATTTGTATAATTGTCTCCATTTGTTGCCATTTCCCCCCCCTCAGATTTATTTTCTCTGCTTTGCACATTCTCCTTATTTTACAATTCTTCATACATGAGGGAGGTATATTATATGCTCCCCTTTTTAATTTTTTATGTTTAGCAAGATTAAAATCCTCAAAATTGATACTGGCTGAAAGTAGCTTATACCATAAAGCAAATTAATAATCATAACAATTTATTATTATATATAATATAGTGCTTATTCCAAGAGGGACACTATTTAACTTCTTTCCATTTTTACTTAATTTTATCCTCAAAATAACCTTGTGATCATTACCTCCTGTCATGATTACAAATGAGGAACATGGAACAAGGAGAGGGCAAATAGCTTTCTTCAGAATCCATTTTTAAACACAGTTTAACATTTAGAGATCCTTTCTCTAAGTCACCAACCTGAGATGTCTCTCTGAATTCATATCACTTTACACTATTGCCTCAAAGATATTTCAAATATACTAAAATTATCTTGTCATTTCCTTGTTGACCAACCTTGGATCCCACCCCTGCCCCCACTGATCCAAATGTCCATGCATTATACACCCTACCTATTCACCTCAAGGTATGGCATTTTTGGTTGCATAACTCTCCACATAAGAATCATATAAATTCTACAAGGTCAAAAACCATGGTTTACCCTATTGTTTTTAAAAGTCTGTTTCAGTTTATAAAAGCTTTCCTTTATTATTTATACTTCCTAAGTCCTAATAGGAGTCCCTCTATCTGTAAAATGAAAGAACAGAGGGGCTGGAGCGTGGGGCCTGTCAGATATTGTTAGCTGAGCCGGGCAGTGAGCAGCGCGAGTGTAGATTAGGTCGAGTTCCAATGAGAAGCACATGCATGTATTCCAACCCTGAGGGGTTATTTGGTTGGAAAACAAAATAATTTAAAAGATGCAGGTATAGTGTAAGAGGAGGCATCCCAATGTCACTCAACAAATCACTTCTTTCCAAAGACACTGCACAAACAAGAATGTTCGAAATTAAGTCATCCAAAACCTGATAGTAAGTCCCAGGTGGCAGCCAAGACCACAGCTGGGGGTCGGCGGCCCTTCCACCACCAGGAGCCACCGCAAGATATGGGGGTTTTGGTTATGGGTTCGGTATCTGGAAGTTGGACTTTCCCTATCGGGACAAGATGGTTGGATACATCACAAACTACAGCAGGTGCTTCTGGCAGGGCAGCACTGACCACCGCGGGGTCCCCGGCAAGGCAAGAAGCCAGTCAGCTCCCACACGGCCCCCAGACCGCTCCCCAACTCCAGGCAGCCTGGAAGAGTTGACTCTCGTTGAAGATCCTGGGGGTTGTGTTTGGGGTGTTGCTTTCAAACTACCAGTAGGAAAAGTAGTAGTAGTAAAAACATACCTTGACTTCAGAGAAAGGAGGTTGCGTAACATTCATTTTTTAATCCAAAAGATCCCACAACAAAAACAATTCAGTGTGCTTTTATATATTGGAACATGTGATAATCCTAATTATCTTGGTCCTGCCCCTCTGGAAGACAGTGCTGAACAAATTGTTAATGCAGCTGGTCCAAGTGGAAGAAAGTATCTTTTTGAGCTTGCAAATTCTATTAGAAACCTTGTACTAGAAGATGCAGATGAGCATCTTTTCTCCTTGGAAAAATTAGTAAAAGAACATTTAGAAGAAAAACAGAACCTCAGATGCATATAAAGACCTAATCATTAACTTATTTAAATAGAGCATTTAGTCTTCAAAGAGTAACTTCAGCACACAAAGGCAATATTTTGGAAATGTGTTTAGTTGAAGATCTTATTATTTTTAATGTTATAGCCAGGATATCATCTAAATGTATAACTTAATTGCAAGTGTCCTGAAACATATTCAGAAGAGAGAAAGAAAAATTCAAGTTTTAATAATGTAATGATTTCCTAACTATACGATATTGAACACTTGCTCATCACAAGTGAATTCTTTAGAAACATACAAAGTACTCCCTTCGGCAGCACATACACTAAAATTGGAACAATACAGAGAAGATTCGAATGGCCCAGCACAAGAAAAAATGGGCAAGTTTATGAAGCATTCCATATTTTTAAAGAAGCAAAATATAGAAATACTTGGTTCAGTTCTTGTTTGTATCAGTAAAATAATCTTGTTTCATTTCACAATACTATTTTGAGGTTATAGAGAATTAAGCCAAAAGTCCAATAAATATTATAAATATTTTTTAAAAAAACTGATAGTATCAGTGCAGAAGCTTGGGCCTATGACACAAAGTGATTTGCCTAGTTTCACCCAACTGACTGGATGCAGGACCAGGTCTAGGGTACGGTCTGCCTTCCCCCCCTCCAGTGCTCTTCCTATGGTGCTCCAGTATCTTCAGTCTGTGCTACTTGTCTCAAAGTGCTGCTGTGGATTTGTGTGTAACTTAAGATCTCATTTTGTTCGGGATCTTCTCCACCATAGACCATTCACACTGCAATCTGGGATGGGGTCAGGGCATCGATGTGTTGTTTTGTTTTGATTTTTACTTTATAAAAGAAAATCACAAGCACATACAGAAGAGAATTTAATAGTAGAGAATTACCCACTATCATCCACATTCTGTTCATCAGCTTGGACAATCTCACCTCATCCCTACTCCCAGATCACTTCTTTTCCTCCTCCAGATGATTTTTAAGTAAACCCCAAGCATGTTATTTCATTGGTAAATATTTCAGTACTCTAAGGACTTTTCCCCAAAAAGTCCCCGATTATTTCACTTTTTTTTTTAAATAAAATCTAAATAAGGAAGGCCTGTACTTTGCAACTTGTGAGTTTTTAGTTGCTCCTAATTTGTAAATTCTCTCTCCATCAGACTCGCCCCCCCCTCACTAAGAGCAAAAACAGAACCAGGTTGTTACTCTTTAGAGTTTCCCAATAGCCTGGATTTTGCTGTTTATGTCCCTTGTACTATCCTTCAACATTTTCTCTGTGCCCTCATTATGTGTTTATCTTGAGAAATATTACAGACAGAAAAATAAAGATAGATGCTTCTTTCCATTTATTTATTCCCTTCAAATAAAGAATGGTTTCACTAACAACTCCCAAAGGTGACCACAAAGAATGTTGTTTTATCTTTTGGCATCAAGATGAGCTTATGAATAGTAGCTTGTTTGAATTGCACATATCAAATAATTGCATTATTAATCCTATTAGATAGATTATACCCTCTTTTGCTAGTGAGGGTCTGTTCAGATTAGTGCAGGTTTGTTTTGATTGGATTCTTGTAGAATTGTTAATAGTACTATCTTGCTTTCCAGAAAAATAAAACATTCCAGTTTTACAAATTTTCTGCCCCCGACATAGAAACAACCCGTTTTTGGAGTAACCCTTATAACATTTTAAGGGAAAAATGTATTTGGAAGACTTGACTCAGGAGTGTTCCATATTACCGGGTTGGTTATTGTTTTAAGACTTTTCAATGAAAAGAACTAGATAACACTTCCTTTCAAGATACAATACATTGCAAATTCACATTTTTAACTCCAGTTCAAATAAGGGCCCCAGGACATTTATTTAACTTTGTCAATCCTAATTTATGTCTTCCTACACACACACACACACACACACACACAAAATCCTTATTGTAAATTACACCAACATAAATAACCCACTAAATTTATCCCACTATTATCTACACCTGAATCCATGATAATATCAGCACTTCCAACAATGGCAAAATTATTGAATGCCTTTTAAGGTTTCTTTCAATTATTTTTGTTCTTAAAGTACATCACACGATGGATACAGAGATAAATTGCTATATTAAAATATCACTTGAAATACATTTTGTTTATTTATATCTATTTTATATTTAGGGGTTGATTTTTTATATTAAGTTATAAGTATATAAAATACTTACTTTTCCAAAGATATATCTATACAAAACATATTTACATAAGTCCAAATTTAATTACAGTTCCAGCCACCTATTCCTCTAGATTCCTATTTGTTCCATTTAAAATCCAATGGTTCAGCCTACCATATACTTAACATATCATATATTTAATATTAGCAAATGTATTGTGTCTGCTTTCTGTTGCTATGGCAAAATACCCGAGAAAAACAATTTATAAAGAGGAAAAGTTTATTTTGGCTCACCATTTCGGAGGTTTTCAATCCAAGGTCACTTGGCCCTGTTGCTTTGAGCCTGTGGCAGCACAGTACATCATGACAGGATCCCATGGTGGAGAAGAGTGCTAACCTATAGTGGCCAGGAAGATAAAAGATGGGAATGGGCTAGGGTCCCAATATTCCCTCCAAGGGCATACTCCCAATGACCTAACTTCTTTCCACTAGGCCTTACCTCTTATAGGTCCCACCACCTCCCAATAGCACCCAAGCTAGGGACCACACCTTGAACATGGGCCTTTGGGGGGGCATTCCAGATACAAACTATAGCTCTCTACCTCTGGCACCCAAAGGCTCATAACCATCTCACATTATAATATGCATTCAGTGCATTTCTAAGAGACCCCAAAGTCTTAACAATTCCAAAAATGCTCAAAAGTCCAAGGCCAAAGTCTCCTCTGAGACTCAAAGCAAACACTTAAATTCAAGTGAGAGAGGGAGAGAAAGAGAATTAACATATTTACAAATCACAATGACATGCAAAAGGGAGGATTAGAGGCATGGAAAGAGGGGATTGGATCAAAGCAAGACTGACACCCAGCAGGGAGAACATCAAGTCTTAAGTCTGTATGTGCAGCATCCGAGGCACATGGTAGAATGATGTAATTTCCAAAGGACTCCGACAGCCCTACCACTGGGACATTGCCAACTGTGGCCTACATGGCTACCCTCTTGGGCTGGCTCTGCTCACGGCCTGCAGCTTCCCTCAGCAGGTATCCTATGTTCCTAGCCATCTCTAACTCCTTAAGAGCTCCACAAAAGCTTTGTGTTCACTATCTTAGCTTCATGCATTGCCCTCTGAGAGGCTGCTGGCAAGGACTCTGATCTTGCTGCATATGCCCGGCCTCCCAGATCTCTGAGATTTCAGTGGAAGCCTCCATGACCTTGTAACTCTTCCATTCTGCCTGCCTGCAAAACCAACATCACATGGATGGTGACAAGGTCTGCTGCTGCATGCTTTACAAGGGCCTGCTTAAATCATGGTTGCAGTGTCCTTTGAGTGCCACTGATGACTGAACACAGGAAAATGAATCCCAGGGAAATGATTCCCTAGGTAACACCATGTGAGCAGGACACCTTAGGCCTGGCTCACAGGCCTTTTCAAATGGAATTTTTTTTAAGATGAGTCTATACTTTTAAATTTCAGATCCAAACTAGATCCAAACATATATTTCTGCTTTTTCTTGCTTAAATGAAGCAAATCTGAAAAAGCACGAGTAAAAACAGCATAAACAAGATAGTCGATTTTTCTCTTGTATAAAACTTTTTCTCTCTTGTATGTGACTTGGCACAAGGGCTCTGCTCCAGAGTCCCTCAGGACCCGGCTCCTCCCCACTCATTACTCTGACATTCTACAGAGATAGTCCTCATGCTCAGGCCTAAGATGACGTTATCCATGTTTGAAGCAGCAAAGTGGATGATGGGTGAAGAAAAGAGAAAAGAGTATGTATCAATAATCTCTTTAAAAAGGTTCCTTTGGAAATGTTACAAAGCACTTCACCTTATATCACATTGGCCAAAGTAGCATAGCCATATTCATTGCACATTAGCAATTTACATAAACTCCTAAGTTCTAGATTGTATCTATAGCTTCTAGTTTCCTATGATGTTTATTTTTTTAATATTTTTTAGTTGTAGAGACAATAACTTTATTTTTATGTGGTGCCGAGGATCAAACCCAGTGCCTCATATGTGAGGCAAGTGCTCTGCCACAGCCACAATCCCAGCCCCTCCTATGTTTATTAAGTCACCTGTGAATAATGGCCATTTTCTTTCCTTATACAAATTATTCTCTTTATCCGCTTTATTGAGCTGAACTTATACTGCAATGTTATGGCAAGAATGAACATGTTCATTTTTTAACATGTTTCTGAATTGGGTATCATATCTGTGTTTTCTTTTTATCATTTTTTCTTTGCTTGGTAGATAACATATTTTAGGTTTAAGGAAGTTCCTCCCCATTCCAAATGTTAGGCAATCCCTCTCTTTGGGATGATTTCTTTGCAAGCATACTTTCAAGGAAAACTTTATTATTATGAAGTTGACTTAATACACAAATGTTCGTTCATTAGCTATGACATAGTAATACAAAATATAAACAATAATATACACTAGGATTAGAGAATATGGAAACTTCTTGTGTTACATTTGCAACTTTCTATAAATCTATTACTATTCTAGATTTTAAGATCTAAAAATATGTCTGAAACTAAAAAATTAAATTTTTCATGAACCCAACTTATTCTAAAATGTATATAAAAAACAAAGAATGAATAATATTTAAACCATTCAAAAAGAAGAAAAAGCCAGAACAACTTGCCCGCCCCCCGCCAAGAGCTCTATTCTAAAGCTTCATAGTAAATAATTAGACGGCACGATGTTCTGATAAGAGTGCTTTAGAAAACAGATCTGCAACTTGTGGGATCTTAATGTATGAAAGAACTACTTCATACATCAGAGGAAAAAAAAAGAGTAAGTAATGTTGAAATAACTTGTTATTGATAGAGAAAAATGAGAAATGAATCAGTCACTCGTATTTGGTTTATCAGCAGGTATAAAGTATTATGTTTGTAAAAAGTAATTTGGCTGTGTATCTCAGAAGGCAAAAAAAAAAAAAGTGTTTGCATCATTCAATGTAATCGCTCTTCTAGTGATCAAAGAGGTATCCAGAGAGGTAATGTACCAACGTGCATCATAGTGTTTCTTATAAACTCAAAAAATGTAAAAATATTTCACAGAAAAAATGCCTTTTCGTGTATTTTCCTACAGGTAGCAAGTCATTAAGATTCTTTTGTGAGGAATGTCCTGCACATACAAAAGCTAGAAAAGAACTTGATTATCAGAGAGTTTTTATTTATTTATTTATTTATTTATTTGATAGTGCTGGGTATTGAACCAAGATGATAGGCAAGCACTCTGAC